GTAATACAAATATTAATATAGCTCTTTTTGTAAAAAAATGTGTAATGTTATATTAGAAAGGAAGGAAAATCAGGTAAGAGAAACAAGAAAATAAAGAAATAGAAGAAATAAAGATAGGTAAATGGACAGAAAGAAAGACAGACCACAGGGGCACGCAACTACTATTAATATTGACCTGTTTTAGGCTTTTAGTCGCTTGGTACGTATAACCTAAAAGCGTGCCCCTGTGGACAGACGGAAAGATAGACAGACAAGAGGAGAAGTACCAGTATTAAACAAATCAATGTAAAGGATAGAAGTCTGGTAATATATAGGTGTCCGTAGCCAAGTAATTAAGATAATACATTGTATGTTTCAATTTTGTCCTTTTTTTTCAAATAAATTTAAATAAGATCAAACATAAACATATAATCGGCAAAATGTAGGTCTAGGAAATATCAATAAGCCTTTTCCATTTTTTTCACTCATTCTGGAAGTTAATGAGATATATTTCGTCTTTATTATTTGCAATATATTTTTGAACATTGTAATGTTCTTTAATTGAACGTTTAATTCCTTGTATAGATAAAGGCACGTTAAGACATCTTGCCTTCTATATATACTGTTTTATTATTAAAATAATACTATTGTCACTTTTATTACGTCCATTATAGTTATAAAAACCAAAAAGAAATGTTTGTTTATTATAATCAATTGAATAATTAATGAATCTGATAAGAACTCAAAATTGTGTTTCTAATGAATAATTCAGAAAGTGTTAGCAAAACTAATATCTAGATTGATTATACAGTAAAATGAGTTTAGTTTTTTAATCAAAAGAGCCCACAATTGAATCCCAACAGTAATACAAGTGTTTTATGATAACTGAAATTATAATTATAATAAACATATGTATATCTATCTTTCTTTGATTCTGCCTCCTTGCTTTTGAAAATAACTTAAATGCAGAATAATTAACATAAGAACTCTTCTTTGTTGGAGATACAGCATCAAGTGATGACTCTTTATAAATTCTGAAGATACGGGTAGTCAATAAAAACCATGTTATACATGTACTGCCATTTGTCCAGCATGATTTTTGTATCCTAAAGGGGTTTGGTGATACAACGATGGATAATATCAAGGAATAACTGAATTCATATTAAATATACCAGCAGCGATGAGGCAGATGTCATCCTGGTGGTGGGAATGTGTAAGTGGCATACTTTGAGAATACAAAAACTTTTCAAATCTTTGTATTGCCTGCGATAAATTCTTCTGTAAGCAATTTGCTTTGTAATTTGAACATCAGATGTGGTCATCTTGGACACATACACCTCTTCAACCTGGAGGAATGAGTAGCTCTACAGTTAGGAGGTCAAGATCCTCTCTTATTGGGAGATAACACTTTTAATATGTGTAGTATTTTTGATGTTGAATTTTTGTTGTCAGTGGTTGTTATACCATGCCATTTTGAATTAAATGGATACTTGCAATTGATGCATTGACATAATTATACACATATATACAGGTAATATCTGGCTTTTGATTTTATGGTCAGGCAGTTGTAAATATTTGTGTTTCCAAAGCAACATTAATTGAAAATCTTTATTAGTCTTAAATTTAAATAGCACATGAAGTGCAAAATGCAATATAACACGGGCATGTGCTTATTAATACTTAATGCAACAGATGTTTTAAAATAGGACTCAATAAATATTTTAAAACACTTTCCATACAGAAAATTGATCCCAGCAGTTGCATGCAACTTATATATGATACATGTTAAGTTTCTGAATACCTTACGTTTTTATTACAGAGTGACTGATAAATCAATAACAGTATGTTCGGACCCTTCCCAAACTCAGTCCTTTAATAATGAATGCCTGAAATTATTCCTGCTTGCAATTTATATAAATACTATACATACCTGCATATTTATAATATATATACCTGTACATTACAAGATTTAAAAAAATATATTTAAGCATATTCCTATTTTAATTAAACAATGGGATTAAGATAAACAACTTATACAAAGCCCTTTCCCTCAATAAGTAAACTGTCCTTGTAGTGGTTTAAGATTTTAAATGTATGTTATGTAAGGATGGAAGATACTGTGAATTTATGTTACATAGCATATATCATAGTGATGTCAAGAAAATATAACACTACAAAATCTGTATTGTACTTTGATGTGCATTATGTTATCTTGCACATCTGTTTATCGTGGTCATATGATGTTATTTAGAGGGACTCAATCAAGTTTGAGATTGTGAAGAAATAAAACATTTGTCAACTTCAGTCATCTTTTAAGTTTATATTCATGCACAGGGACTCGTTACAAATGTTTAAAATACACATATATATACATGCTATACTGATATGGATCACAGCACATGTGTGCTGTCATATTTCGATTCACGCACGTAAAAAAACACTAAAATACACATCCCCTATCAGTAGGACATATAAATATGTGTATTATTCACGTACGTACCGTTTCTAGAATCTTTATCAAGATTATCCGTGTTTTCAAACACGTTTCCAAGAGAGTAACATATCGGCTGTCATAAGGAACCGTCGATATAGCCTCCCTTTTTGTGTTTATTTCGCCTGTTGGGATTTTGTTTAACCGAATTTTCCCGGTTTTTAACCGAATTTTTTTCGGGGCCGCTTGGGCTCTGCAAAAATTCAAGATGGCGACGGCGAAGTGTTGATTCGTCTATTAATGAATATGATAAATTGCCATATTCAATACAATATTAGCAGATTACGATATTTTTTTATTTATTTTTTTGAAAAGGGGCGTACGCCCATTACGCCCTCACCTGGACCCGCCCCTGACTACTCCAACCGAACACTGCTATGTACAAATATTTAGAATATCTAGAAGATGAAACAGCAGGTGCATTGTAATCAGTCCAACTTACATCCCGATGTGATAGCATTATATAATACCAACACGGGAAAACAATGATTTAGGCGTGATGGTGCCACACTAATAGCAGACTGTGGGAGATACAGAAATGGTTAACGTTAAGTAAAACCTCTTACTAAAAACGGGAATATTACCGACTGTTTGATAAAAGAAAGAATGGTACAGAGCAGTATGATTTCAATACCGATGATATGTATTAAATAATGAACTTTAGTTTGGACGTAAACTTCTTTATTCATCAACCTTCGCTGTTGTATTCTTATTTATTCGAGAATTACCAAGCTGGGGCAGTTTCGTGATCATGTATATCGAAGTAGTTTCCTTTTATATAATAATAACGTACGTTTGTCTTTGTATAGATAGAGAGCATATATCCATGAGGTATCACCACACACATCTGTTATAGTAAGGACATTTTAGACAGTTGAATAACTGAACGTCTCTCAATATCTTGGCTACACTAATTGGGCTACCTATTGCATAGTTCTGAAGATACAGATATCATTTTACCAAGATAACAAACTTATGCATAAAGGCTCATTCTGAGGTTTCCTTCTTTGAAAACCGGGGGAAATCATCAAGTACGTGTTAGATAATAAGGAAAACAAAGTTGTTTTACGTCACAGTTGACAGCAAGAATGTGTATATGGAAAGGGGGATCCATAATTGGATATATTAATTGACGGATACAGTTAGAGAATCGATATTTGGATGACAGGAAGCAACACTGATATCACACATACGTATCAATAAACAATACACCAACGGCGGTATGACAACATGATTACAACTATGAGAGAGCGCGTGTATTTCAAATTTCTTTCTTTCAAAAACATATTGCTAAATCACTTAAATATTTTTAATCAAACTACAAAACCTACACTATATTCATTATCATGAGAGACAATTTCCTGCATTTTATTTCTGTTTCAATGTGAAAAGATTTGAAAAAACAGCTGACCACTTTCCGTCGATGTTCTATAGTTTAAAGCATAAGCATTTCATATTTTGTTTAACCTTTAGGCAATATGGTTTGATGGTAATATATTACATGTTGTAATTGGTACTGCGTGACTACAATTTTCAATTTTTAGCTCGTCTATTCGAAGAATAGGGGGGCTACATTATGTATAGCAGTACCAACGTTGTCGGCGTCGGCGTCCAAATTGGTTAAGTCAACTTTAATTAATTTTACATTGTAATATGGTTATAGCAATTGCTTGGAGGTTCCTTAGCAACAAATTGGACCATGTTTGCTCATTATTGGTACAAAAAACAAGTCTTTTGGAATTGGTTAAAGTTTTTTGGCAAGTTCCACAGGTTAATGTTTTAGGGCAAGTTCTAGTTCTTTTGAACTACTGGGCAGATTTCAACCAAAGGTAGGGGAAGAGGTTTGTACAAATGAATTATGAATTTGACAGTTTGCCTTTAAACGACATCTCATAGAAGGTAGGAACTTGAAACTTTAAGTCATGGTAGATATATGTATGGGGAAGTGCACAACACTTCAGAATTTTGGATATGACCCATAGGGGGCGGGCCAGAAGGGGTGGGATCATGGGGGTCATTTTTTAAAAATATAGTCTTATAGCATATCTAATCAAACATAATCATGAGTTCTACATTCTAAAGTAAATCATTTTAGCATATGGTGATTGTGCGGGGTAGGAATACTTGAGTGATAAGGGGTAAATAACTTTTTCTACACTGTTTGAGGTGGGAACTTGAAACCTTTGCACATTGTAGATTTACGTATGGAGAAGTACACAACACTTTCTGATTTTTGTATAACCCCAAGGAGCCTGGTCAAAGGGGGTGGGGTCATGGGGATATAATATTTTTAGAAAAAAGAAAGAAAAAGTGTCTTATTATTAAAGTGAACAAATTTCTTTTCAATTAAATTACTACTAATCACAATGATTGATAAACATAACAAAAATTACGAGCAAAGCATTCCAAAAAGATAAATCAAAAGAACCCCGTTTGTTTTACCACGTTGATGCTGAACACTAGGACACTCAAGACTCATCAGCCGCCTTCCTCGATATTTACTAATGGCATGACCAAAAGAGACGGCTTACTACAATGCAGGACGATAAGCATAACAGTTTTTAATTTGCATATCGTGATGCTTGCCTTTATCGTGATGCTTGCCTTTATCGTGATGCTTGCCTTTATCGTGACGCTTGCCTTTATCGTGACGCTTGCCTTTATCGTGATGCTTGCCTTTATCGTGATGCTTGCCTTTATCGTGATGCTTGCCTTTATCGTGATGCTTGCCTTTATCGTGATGCTTGCCTTTATCGTGATGCTTGCCTTTATCGTGATGCTTGCCTTTATCGTGATGCTTGCCTTTATCGTGATGCTTGCCTTTATCGTGATGCTTGCCTTTATCGTGATGCTTGCCTTTATCGTGATGCTTGCCTTTATCGTGATGCTTGCCTTTATCGTGATGCTTGCCTTTATCGTGATGCTTGCCTTTATCGTGATGCTTGCCTTTATCGTGATGCTTGCCTTTATCGTGATGCTTGCCTTTATCGTGATGCTTGCCTTTATCGTGATGCTTGCCTTTATCGTGATGCTTGCCTTTATCGTGATGCTTGCCTTTATCGTGATGCTTGCCTTTATCGTGATGCTTGCCTTTATCGTGATGCTTGCCTTTATCGTGATGCTTGCCTTTATCGTGATGCTTGCCTTTATCGTGATGCTTGCCTTTATCGTGATGCTTGCCTTTATCGTGATGCTTGCCTTTATCGTGATGCTTGCCTTTATCGTGATGCTTGCCTTTATCGTGATGCTTGCCTTTATCGTGATGCTTGCCTTTATCGTGATGCTTGCCTTTATCGTGATGCTTGCCTTTATCGTGATGCTTGCCTTTATCGTGATGATTGCCTTTATCGTGATGATTGCCTTTATCGTGATGCTTGCCTTTATCGTGAGTACATCCCGGCTTCTATAACGTATGGTTCTAGCGTGTCGGGGTTTGATATCTACAAGCTCACCCCGAATATCACGATTTCTATGTTGGATGTTGATTGATGTCGGATTAACTTAAAACGTGATGATTCGAGAGGTGCTGGTTGGCTTGTTTTATGGTCGCCATCATGACCATATTTGGATATATCACGTGTGCGATATGAAGACCAATGTTGTTGATTATGCTCGTTAGTTTGCTTTGTTGTGGCGTTGTCATCAAACCAGGTCTCGCCTTAAGGCTGTGATATGTTTACTTTCATTTACAAGGCGGATGTCATCGATGGAGAAGACGATTTAACCTTTTCGGAACACCAGGCCTTATTTTCCGTGTGTGTTGGTCAAAGGTTGTCATGTAAATAAGAAGGTGTTCATATTTTGCTTAAGTTTAATTAATTTTGAGTTCTACTCAAGGTTTTGTGGCACTGACATAATCTCTTGTTTGAAATGTGAATCAGATAATCCAATCTAAAGTACTTTTCTAAACGGATAACCAACAACGTTAATTAGCCTATATAACCTATAATTAATCGTGTGGGTTTCTAACTTGGGACGCCGTGTATGTTCAGAGATGAAATTCAAGAGGCGTTCTCGATATTTGGAAGGACACTAATACATGATACCAAAAAAGCAATAAGTGAAGATCATTGACTCTTATGATTAAGAATGTAACGCCAATTGGTGTAAATGCATTTCCTGAGCGAAAGAGAGTGCTTACAAGGTTTCTTAAATGAATTAAGGCTATATGTATGGTTCATAATCAATAACCATGGAAACATAGAGATATTATATCTGGAACATGATATATATGAAGTTGGCCACGGCCGTCCACATCTACGTCGCTATCGTCATCCATCAAACAACTAATTTCTCCAATAGGTCCCAAGAGTTGCAGGGATCACGATCGGGGCACTTCTATTGAGGGAAACCGATGGCTGTGTATGACACAAGTGTTGTTTAGAGAATATATTCCGGAATAAAATACAATTAAGTATGAACGGCACTCTTTTCTGTCGTTCACATTCTAACGCCATCAATCGCATGTGATTTGAGTGTCTTGACGACTTCGGGGCTTCGATATATGAATATTAATATTTCCTGTATAATCTCAGATTCCATAGAGGTGTGAAGGTCTTCATGTCATGGAAGCACGCAATACATTTCTCACGAACCATAGCCTCCTTATCGAAAGGTAAAAGGTTACATATATGCAGTGCCAGATCTTTCGTGGACACGAGTACTCAGAGGTAATTTAAGGCGCATCTGCGGTATAATATGCAACATATGTAAACCTAGTTCCACACTGCCAAAGCTGTATGTATTTCGCCGACTAGCATTCGATGTTAGAGGAAATTCTTACGAAACTGCTTAAAGTTTACAATGTCAAATTTAAGGTTTGTCTTTACTTTAGGATCAATTCATTATTCTTTCAGGCATACCTTTGTTGGTTCATTGGATCAAACCCTGAGTGTGTTGATTTATAATGTGTCGAGGAGATCTTATATGAAGCGAAATGTTCATGTATGGTGTCATTAAGTCACTAACCCCTTTATTATAACAGAACTAAGCTAGTTCAATGAAGGCATCTTTGTAACATCTTTTTGTTCTATTGTTAATGCACGTAAAGATAGTACGTTAAGATAGTATGTTAAGATAGTAACCATGCTTTACTATTAGTTACCCAGCGCGTAACGAATACTAAAATTTATACGATTAGAAGTTACATTGTGTGACAAATATCGTGTAAAACTAGTGTTTAAATGTATAAAGCTAGTAGTTGTCTACATAGCTACATGTAGTAGTTATGGTCTTTATTAGCCCTGGTTTACTTTTGGTTACACCGTGTGTCGAGTAACATCTGTAATTTTACAGGTAAGCATCGTGTGTCAAGTTACATCTTTACCTTTACAGGTAAGCAGTCGAGTTTCATCTTTACATTTACAGGTAAACATCGTGTGTCGAGTTACATCTTTACCTTTACAGGTAAGCAGTCGAGTTACATCTTTACCTTTACAGGTAAGTATCGTGTGTCGAGTTTCATCTTTACGTTTACAGGTAAGCATCGTGTGTCGAGTTTCATCTTTACATTTACAGGTAAGCATCTAAGATTTGTTTCGAGTTACATCTTAACCTTTACAGGTAAGCATCGTGTGTCGAGTTACATCTTTACCTTTACAGGAAAGCATCGTGTGTCGAGTTACATCTTTACCTTTACAGGTAAGCATCGTGTGTCGAGTTACATCTTTACCTATACAGGTAAGCAGTCGGGTTACATCTTTACCTTTACACGTAAGCATATGAGATTTAATGTTTGGGGAAGGTTTGCTAACATTTTTGAACATTCTCCTTGGTAAGTGGTAGATTTACCTTAATAGTGTTCTGGTCATTTCTTCATTATTGTGAATATTTGTCTTTACATTCGAGTGTTTACCTGGTATAACTATTACTGACATTAAGATTACTAGTACTTTACCCTATATAACGTTTATAGTTACTATGTAACGCTATTAGTTACCTAACATAATTAATGGTTACATTGTATAGCTAGTAGTTGCCATGTTTATCTAGCGATTATTTTGTTGATGTAGTAGTTATATTTGCTTATAACCGTTAGTACCTGAACTACGTAACTGAATTTAAAAATAACTGACAAGTTTGTGATAAAACTGTGAATAAAATAGTTTTGCCTCAACATCTTTATACGACAGTACAAATATGAAAGTTTCACTGTTCTGCCATTTCTACTAAAAGGTTATGTCTACATACAGAGAAGAAATATATATTGATGAAGATCTCATTTGTTCTTTCCTCTTTCCGTGATTCTTTCGTTCGTGGTCTGCCAAACCTTGTTAATAGTCGGACATTTCTGCCCAGGGACTTCCGTGACAGATTCAGACTCTGAGGTGTTTTTTTCTGGGGATCGGCCAGACTCTGGAGACACTAAACCTCGATGCGCCGCTTGCTCCCATCTCAGCATCAGTTGCAGGAACTACGGTGAAGGATGGAGGGGGTCAAGATTTATCAACTGGAAGAGACGACTGTAATAGGCCGTTGTCGCCCCCGAGATCTACACTAAAAGTAAATCTGTGTTATTAGATAGGTCTTGTGGTGATCGTTCTATCGTAAAATTAATATTGAACCAATGCTTCGGGTTAGTTATTTTGTATGGCAATGCTACCACAAACGCCGGTCCGTCCACTTAGCGATAGCACTATCACGACCCGACCATTACTGACTAGGGGCCAGGAATATGAATTAGAAAAACGTCCGAGATTTATATTAGACGGTTTAGTGGACGAGCGCTGTTGCATGAGCCTGCTGTAACGTTATTAGGCATCGAATACAAATGAAATTATTTAATGAATTTTAACAATAGCGGTAGGCATTTCCCTTGATTCATTTATCAAAGTTTCAGTTTTCTGTACTGATTTTTTCAATTGTTATTAGAATAATTTATCTTTTTTAAAGACCAAAAAATATCAATGATTGAAATGAAAAGTTATCTCAAAGACTACTAGTAGTAGTAATGGGCTGTCATCACCAACTGTGGTAACTGACTTTTTGAGTTAGCTTTTTGAAACGTTGTACTAGTTATGTTGATAGATGTTCAGTACTCTGTAGAGTAAGGGTTCCATTAGTAAATAAAGGCAAAGGACATAGTTTCCAGGATACGTTAATAGGTAGGTTTTCTTAATCATATACTGCAAGATGATACGCATAATCACATGACAAGAAAATTATAAATTGTAAATAAACACAAAAATATTAAGAAAAATGTACATTTTTAAATATCCAGAAATCGAACTGATAAGATGTTAACCATGACCGCATAGTTAGCTTGCCGTGTTTCACGTGAATTTAAAAATTGCTATTTTCTTATGTTATCAGTCCATAATCATATGGTTCCTATTTTCAGATGATACAAATGAAATCCCAAGCACATTAGTTTTTAATGCATTTTCTTCATTTTCATATGTTCTTAACTGTGAAGAAACAGATTAATAAGAATACATTAACTTGCGTAAATCATGCATGGCAACTGGGCTATGGTGGTACATTTTTGTACATGCACGTAGCTTCTGACTTTTTCATATTCATTAAAACAGCCCTGATGACTTTTATTAATTCAGGAAATAAGAAATGTTAAAGGTGAGAAATACAAATGATAATATATTATCACTCCAAGTCTGCTTATTTCGTGTCGCTAGTGATTTGTAGACACACACTTTGTCAGCTGATTAGATTGTCTCAGACCCCAGCCTAGCGTGGCTTTATGCCAAGTACAAATGTCCGGTCGACTTACTGTACAGATATATAAAGTACAACGAGTTACTGCATATACATTAAGAGCAAAAAGCACAAAATTCCAATCGGTTGTACATGGAGAAGTTTTAAAACAAAATCGAAACCCAAGATAGAACATTATGATGGATAGTTTTGTCAATATGTGAAGCGGTTTTACTATATTTGGGAGATTTTTATCATCAGTGAGATGGATGGAGGGAGAGGTATATGTCGACAGGGATATTTCAGAAACCAATGTACAACGTTTGCACTTGTCTCTAGTCAATATTGACTAGGGTTCCAACCCTTTTAGGAAAACGATCCCTAGACACACGTATCTCTGTGTTGGAGAATAGCAATATATATATAGGCTGTAACAGTTTGTCGTATTTCTGTGTTTGAGAATAACAATACAGGCTGTAACAGTTTGTCGTATTTCTGTGTTTGAGAATAACAATATAGGCTGTAACAGTTTGTCGTATTTCTGAGATTGAGAATAACAATACAGGCTGTAACAGTTTGTCGTATTTCTGAGATTGAGAATAACAATATAGGCTGTAACAGTTTGTCGTATTTCTGTGTTTGAGAATAACAATACAGGCTGTAACAGTTTGTCGTATTTATGAGATTGACATTCGGTTTTCAAAACAGGTCAGGAGGTGCCACTGCTGGAGTATCATATATCATCCTATCAGACAGTGGCTCGGGAATATCCAACTGAACCGTAAGATTTAGATTGGCTATCAAAACAATTGCAAAATACAATATCTTCCAATGCATTTTGGAGATATTTTTACCAGTTCAGAATCATTGTACACGTCAGTAGGATCGAGGCATTGTGTCCTATTGTCATATTGGAAAAATAATATAACATACAAACGTACAAAGGATCACGAACCGATAAGACATGTCTTCTGACGAAATGTTCGGTATACAGTTCATCAGGTTTCATATGACGTCATATTGAAACCGATTACATTGCAAATTGCAGTGGAACTGTGCTGGATTGAGCGCTGGTGACTCAAAGTCTCATGCAAAATGTTGCTCATTTTGTTAGAATGTACGTCTTAAGTTCAGAAGTACGAAGTTCGAATCTCGAAACCAAGGCCAAAGTATACGATCACAAGTATGGAAGTGAAGAATAAAGGACGAATTGTCATGGAGATTTATCGTGTCACGGTTATGAACCATCTAAACGCTTGTCAATTACTTTGATAAAAGGTATTCCATTCAGCTCAGTCGTAATAGCACAGGAGAAGTAACATGTAGTCATACATTCGACTACTGGCGAAGGGACTCAGAAAATGTAAAGGGTCATTTAGTTGATATCCACTACAAAATGCAGTTAAACTTTAGCCATCTATTCTAAACATTGATAGCAGGAGATCCGGATCGTCGAATCTGTTACCGGCTTGTCGGGTGACGGACTGCGGAGAGCAGGCACTAACGTATCAATTATGTAGGTATGACGTTATATCACCCCCGGGCGAGCTACTGATCACCCACAAGGTATTTATACGTACTCTAGACAAGCCCGAGACGATAGTCGATTGCCTGACTTCTGGTAACATAGTTCCCCTGTACTCTAATGGCGTCTAGAAACAATGCTCTGGGGGGGTATAATAGAAATAAACTCTTGCACCTTCATCGTTTAGATTCTAACTATCAGAAATTAACCGAAAGTTGAGTACAATTTGAGTTTTATAGGATTGCATGTTATTGTTATGTTTAAATCTAACCTTGATGTATTACGCAATTCATTGTCATTCTGTAGTTTCTGTTAGATACTTGTCAATGTTGCGTTCTCTTACTTTGAAATAAAACTGTTCCCATAAGTGACATGCATTTGTTTTGCGATTCATTATTGGCCCTATCAAAAGACTGTACGACAAATGTATGTAGTGACGAAGACAAACTTTAATATATTTGCATCGCCGTTAGTAAAATATATTTCCGTTTTAGATTATACGGTACATCGAAATATCAAGCATGATATGTTCCGAAGTAGACTAGGAGTCACAACAGTTAGCCGGTAGTTTGAAGCGTTACAAAGTGAATGCCTAATATAAAGCAGTGCCATTTTCCCTGAAGTTTTGCACATAAAATAAAAGCACTGTCAGCTTGTCTCCAATAGCATTGATCAATTTGGAAATATGTGATATTCAAGTTTTACTTTCTACACAAACAAAGTACGTATTAATGGTGTCGCAACGTTTCAATACCGACTGGTCCCTTTGTCAAGCTATTACTCTGTCATAGCTTGACAAAGGGACCAGGTGGTCTTGAAACTTTACGTACATTGCTTGTGAAGAAAGTAAAACTTTGATATTCACTGTCAGCTTGGTTCCCAAAATACATTCAACTGATGACTAGGGTCATTAGAAGGGTGAAATAGCAAATCCACGTGGTAATTAGCATGTTTTTCTAATTTTGATATGACAATTTTAACAAAACATGATATTTACTAGTAATATTTGGTAACCATTTACCTATTAACAACACATGGTGTCAATAATAACGTTACATATCGTGTGTCTCTCGGTACAAAACTATTATGTGACCATGTTTTACATTTTTCATTTAGCGTCAATACTATGTCTGCATCAAACCTAACGCATAGAAATGATATCGTCTTCTAGTCTCTATGTTGTCAAATCACTACATTGTTAAACACAATTGCCGGTCATTTTTGGTCTCGCAAGCCCCAATTCATTTTGGTCCGAAAAATATCATTTCAATTCTTTGTAAGCACAACATACGTCTCGTGTGTGCTAGCGACATATAGTCATCTATACTGAAACGAGCGAGTTGTTTTCAAAAGGTCATCAAACATAAACTATTTTTTTTATAGCGAGCTTTACATAGCTTTTACTACATGTACCTGTCAAAGCAAATGCAAAACTTGTAATATTTGCCAGAAAAAAAGTTAATTCTTTAAGACAGTTTAGTGATCTGTACAATGCAAATGCAAAACTTGTAATATTTGCCAGAAAAAAAGTTAATTCTTTAAGACAGTTTAGTGATCTGTACAATGTGGTAAATTGTACACACAGAAAGTAATGATATCGGTAGGAATTAAGTATCGAATGTTCTGCACTACATGAAAGTATAAACGACTTTTTTGATAAAATTGTAGACTATAAACGTGCATGAACAAGTTAACTTTTCGTTCTAGGAGGACTCTGATCGATCCAATGTTCTTCTGGGAAAATATTCTGAAAATTCTGCGCATAAAACATTTGTAATGATATTCTGGCTTGTACATTTTTTCTTTGTCTTTGAAAACCGAGCAGGTACAAATGAAAATTGTCACAAAATGAGATAATGGGTCTTTTGGAGGAGTTAAAATATACTTAATATGGCGCTAGCTATTAAAGTTTGATTCAGCAGTTTTCATGACCTAGATGTGGTAGATAGCCTTCTAATTGTCAATGTCCATCCACCGTCCTTTCTTAAATACATTATAAACCTATCAGAATAATTTCCGCTTCTTTTTCATTGATTAACCTAACTCTAACAGACGTGTTGTCGGATTGGCTGAACTCTAACTGGCCTTAATGACTGTTAAAATGTCTATGTCGGTATCACATATATCTTGTCATGGACACTGTAAGTGACATTGACACGACAAGGTCAAGGTCAAAGTCTTCGGAGAACTGATAATATCCAGGTAGTCTGGTACATATCATACAACTCCGATAAGTTAGGAATCTGACACTGACCACGTTATCAACGCTGACATACTTCTAACGGCAGACATAACTGTTCAATGTTAACACACACACATGCACATATTTATATCATACAATACTTCTCACAAACCAGGCTATTCCTTATATTCATATATAACTATACACTTTCGAATGATTAGTAGTTCTCAGTTAAAAAATATTGTCTGGGGTCCAGTTTTGCAAAAGGTGGTTTGCTTAATCGATGATTGGAACGATTCTCGTTTTGTGTGTTTCTTTAAATACAACTTTTAACTGAGTGAGAACTTTTCAGATAGAAATATTTTAGAAGCATTAAATTACACACTAAGTAAGGAGTTATAACCTTGTATATTGACCAGATTTTAGAGGTTGCACAATGACGGTAAACGTGATTAAACTAATCGACTTTTGAACAACCGGGTCCTGATCTGTTTGTAATTTCTTTTATATTCGAGTTGTTTTCTCAAAAAATATTCATATCACCATAAAACGCCATTTTTATATGCAACATCATGTAAGTTAAGATTGTGGTTACATAGACAAACACGATTAGCTTTCTGTTCCATAACTCACTGAACTTAATCAGTTAATATCACCAATATTCGTCTCTGTTTTCACTTTTCTATTCACACCAAGTGTAAATGTATATTTCCCAATGTAGCTACACTCTACGTACCAGCTGAACGTAAAGGTGTGCTGAATTAAGGGCTTAAACACCACAGAAACAGTCCCATACACTACTAGTAGTGTCCACATCCTTCTGTGCACAAACTAACTTTGGTAATTTCATCATGGGGAAAGTTCTGTCTCATTCTTAAAAAAGTACTCCAAGAAGTAAAACACACAGTTAAGAGACAATGATAAAATGTTTTATACCAATTATCTGATTTGGATGTTGTATTTTGAAAACAAAACAATCAAGATACAACGTCTTTAAACAAATGCATATATGTCATATATATACAACAGTATCTCCCTCGTCTCACCATTAAAACGTAGCATCCACTGCATAACATGCTACTTCGTTGGTTTGAGCTCGGAGAGGCACCGTCAATCACATCCATTAATCCCATCCGCCAGTATGTACTGTCTATATTACGGTTTAATGTGAGTTAAGGACCGTGATAACACCACAGGCTGCATACCACTTTTTAATTAAAGGGACATATCTTCCTCAAATAGTTTATTCTTGTATCGTTCTGTCATGTAGGTTGAGAAATCACAACGAAGACCATAGCAAGTGAGAATGTCAGAAGTTGAGCATTGCCCATCAGAACGTCGCCTGATGATTGAACTCCTGGAAAAGAGAAGGCTATACTATAATATGTTTCTTTAATGTATCCCAATGTCACTGAAATTTCAAAACATGCCTGTGTACGGATGACATATATATCATATATAGCACGCCGATGAACATAAACCTGCTAAACATTAAGGTTTGTGAAATTCACGTTCATTTAATTGTAATATCTAACGATACTACGTTTGTGATATCGCCAAAGGTTATTTCTTGCAAATCTGAGAGTGAGTAGAATGTTACCAATACAAACATATATTTTTAATGTTTGTCACTGACCGTTCCATCTAAAGACATAACTGAAGCACTTCCGTTCGTCTGACCCGTCGTGACATTGTAGGATACCGTCACAACGCTGGCCTCCAGGCACACAGTGACGTCGGCTGTCGCAGATAAATGACGTGTGGTCACATGAAGCCATTGTAAAATTGGCGGGAATGACTGTAAAAGAAGGCAGACTACTACGTAGATTTCTACAAGAAATAAACTTGTAATTGTATTGAAACATTCCAATATCCATTAGGGAAGCAGGTTTCCAAGTTCATGAGATTTAAAATGCTGAAATATACAGCTTTTGAAAAAACCCACTAAATTTTTATCTTTTGTGTCCTCCAACACCAAAATGAATATCCTGTTAAAACATAAAATAGCAGTTCTAGAATTCTAGAACAATCAGAAATAATGCTTTTGTCACAGGTCGGCTATCAATACACTTAACATACAACACAGAGCTGTACATTCAAAGCTAAAATCGTAAGTATCAAGAAAGGGTAAGTCAAATCTGGCATTGTAATTAAATAAGAATCTCTGCTTAGTGTATTGAAACTTGGTATGTGCGTGTAAACTAATCTCGTGTTTCTTCTGTTCCTAAAAGGATGAATCTGGCTATGATAAAATATTGTGACTTTAAAACATAAAGTTAGATTAAATACATATAATCATCATTCTAAAAATTGTAATATATTTTATAGAACGCATAAATTTGGTTAAAATAGGTATAATCAATATTGATACAAAAATATTTAGATATAATCTAGCGCCATTTTGATGAAGTATGTTATGAGTTATGAGTGACACATACAGTTAATCCCATTGACTTTGTAAGACATTTTGCAACATCGCATATTAATTCTCAAACAGACGCACATGAAAACGGGTTTTATATATATATATATATATATATATTTAATTTTCCTTCCAACTCTTACACTCGACCTAAAGAGCAATAATTGAAAAATACGAAATTGAGTTTCTCGTCTATGAGTTATAATCACGACAAGGTTTATTTCTACAACCGACTATCTCCATAGTTTGTTAAAGCTACCTGTTCGTACCAGTGTACCACAAGACTGTATCGCTGTTGTTGTCAAGAATGGTTTTAACACTTGGATACCTATACTATGATGTTTCATACTTGCAACATTGATGTTGTAAATTATTTTAGTTGCATCATTATTTCTAATGAATATATTATACTACACTTTATGAATATCTTTATGTAAAACTTATTATAACATGCTTATGTATATTGCTCCAATTACTGCAAATCGATAAAATAAATATCGAAATAAGGGCACTATAATAATACTCTACCTGGACATTTCTGCATTCCGCACTCTTTTCCTTCCCATTTTGCACCATAACACTTATTCCCGCCGAATTTGGGTCCAGGTTCGTTACAATGTCTCTCCCTCCTCTGTACCCCACCGTTACACATGACTGGACACACCGTCCACTCCTGCCATATGCTCCAACGACCGTGGACTGATCACGTGACAAAACAAGTGAATGATGTACTTATAATTTTGTTTTGATTAATGTGTGTGTTAAGATACATTTTTTTCAATTATCACAAGCATTATATGTCAAACAGATTTTTGTTGTATTTTAATTCATTCTTGCCAACTGTATCTATGACTTAATGTCTTATTGTAAAGGTACAATCACATGTGTGTACGTTACGTTCGTCGGTCACTCTGACACCGTTATCAATAATCTGTAAATGATAATATCCGCAAAACTTCTACAAAAATGTCAGTGTACATAATTTCGTTGACGTTATATAGAATATATGGGATTATAATATTTACTCCGATTAGGTTGAACAATGACAATGGATCGAGTGAACTATTTCTAAAGTGCCTACTGTAACGTTGAGAGTAATTATTTTGATGGTGTTGTTTCTGATCACAGCTATGAAAGAGTTTTAACTGATACATAGGCATTGCTTCACACAGCTAACGATTATTGTATTTGATATGTGTTTGTATTGACTGTCTTCTTACATTACAGCTTGTCTCTTAACATATCAATACTATTCTATTATTTCCTTACACAGTAACGAATTGCTAACGCAATAGTTTCTCGATAACCATACCTGGGCACTCGACAGCTGACCAGCACTCTATGATGTCATAGAAGGGGAATTTGTCCTTTTTGTCCGGCTGACGCCATTCCTTGTGCCGACTGGACGTACCGTAACCGCAGGTCACTGAACATTTTGACCAGGCTGACCACTCCCCCCAGCTCCCTAGTGACCTATGACCCTTGGCCTCTCCCACTGTAAGCGACACTGGAAAACAGAAGGGACAGTTTTATAGTGGGAGCAAAACCCCAAAAACTTTAAAATCACTCTACTGAAATCAGCGTTAAACGTTAAAAAACGAATATCAAGAGGTGATTGAACAAATGCTGTTACTTTTTTCTGATTACGATAATTGCTGCAATGTTTTCGATCATTAAAGTGTTATTTTACACAGAATCAATTCGACGGCAACAAGCTTGAACATCATTAAAAGAACAAATGTTCATTAGACATTAAAAGCGTACTTTTAGGAAACTCCTCAAATAAATGATGAATAAGGAAATGAATTAATTTTAAGAATACAACAAAAGTGAGATGGGAGTACTATGTCCTTTTACATGCACAGTGTCCTGTGTTGATACTGAAAATAAACTGAGCTTAATGGGAGGTAGTATATACTTGACAAATGGGATATACCAAAAGTTAAAACCAAATCTGCATACGATAACATTTTACTTTTTAACTTGATAATCGTCATTAGAAACAAAACATATGACTGCTGCGATATGTTTGGCAATGTTTAGGTCCGTTTCACTTTTAAATGAGGTCTAAGAAACACATTATGTTTTGCAATGTCTCTGATACAAGAAATTTCCATACCTTGTCTGGATCAAAATCCTTCCAATTAGGTTTTCAAAAATGTTCGTCGTATGTGCACTTTTAATTCACATAACACACTGTCTTCAACTAAACTTAAATTTGTAAACTAAAACCAAAAATATTTTACAGGTTAATGGAAATATTTTTGAATATTCTATTACAATGAATTTTGTGCCTCTATATTTAATTATCCCCTGCATTTTGCTTACTTTGATTATCTCAATAATAAACAAGTCAGTGAGTGCATGAAAGGTTACACTGTGTTTCAAGAAGGCTTATGTTCAATCTCTGTTAAAAAAAGCCAGGGTTGAACAAGACTTTAAGGCCTACCGTCTGGTATCAATTTTGTCGTTCTTATCTAATGAAATAAGCAAAATGTGTCCAAACATCTTAAGTTGTGTTTCCATGACAACCCGCCATTGAACGTTCACACAAAACACTTTGCCGAGACAGTAATCCTATATGTACACAATGACATCATTGTAACTTTGACAACTAGTGCTGTTCCAGTTCTATTTGAATTGTCCGCCGTCTTGTTAATTAATTTACCACAGCATACTTTTTAAAAGTATATATACTACAGTGTATGCTTTGTCAAGTCTTATTTAAGTTACAGATGTCTTGTGTATTGTCAAAGGGATCAGCATGCTTAACGGAAAGAAATCTTCAGTTTTGGAGATTCTCTGGGTTAGGTGCTAGCTCTAAACCAGATGAGATATGCCAAAGTTTTTTCAGGATGTCCCATTGATAAGGAATAGGTGTATAATGTGATATTTCTATAGACATGAAGGAGCAGGTTAACGCAATTACAGAGTAGTCTAATTCACAAATCCTAAACTTATGAATGTATTCTCCAATTCATCACCGTTGTACAACAATAACTGGAAACCTGTCATCTAGATCGTGCCAATGAATTCTTGTTTCATATCTCTGATATAATAACTGGTCATTTCTAGTGACGTTAGTACTAAAGTATCTCCATTGTTAATCTTAAACAATAGAAACTACAGTGCAGGTGCTGATGTTTATGTACAAGGAACTAAGTGGAAGAATGTTTAATTATAAAAAGGAGAGCATAATTGGAAAAGGGTAATATTGCTCTGTTTCTGAATCCTCTTTACGTTGGCACTAAACAATATTCTCCACACACCGACAATGACCCTTCATCAGTTGCTTTCAGGTCCGTATTGCGTCACCATCTGTCTAGGGAGTGGGCGTACTTTTGTGTTGCAATTCATATAATGAAGATGCAATATACTGAAAGCGACATGTCCAATACATGTCAGGTTCACGTATCACGCCGAGACTCAATCAAGTCGGATTGGAATAGTTTTCAGCGTGCATGTTATCAGCCATAATACGTGGATGTCGTTTTCAATGCATATTTCGTAAACCAATTTTTAATCAAATTCCGTCAAATCGTACAAAAAGACAATGTGCCTTTCTATATGTAGCCCGTATTGATTGATTAACCAGTGTGTCCGCCAATGCAGTGGCTGCATGAGTACACGTATACAAAGTGTGTTTGTTATGTGATGCTAAGATAATCAAAAGTAAACACATAGCAATGCCAATACACTATATTGCACTTGGTGCTCGAGTTGCAGTTTAGGATAGTACCGATATCGTTGCTGATGTGTGTAATACTTACAATTTACCTATTGTATGTTTTTGTTAAAGGATTGAATTTCAACACTAACACAACAAATAGAAGACATGGCAAGCTCACGCAAGGAAAAATGAAAGAATTTATGAATCTTTTCTTTTTCTCATTAAATGTATTTCGAAATACTTAGCATGTCAGCTATTCAGGGGTTTAGGACTATATATATTTAATTTATCAAAGGGGCTCTTGGATATATATTTCAAATTATCAATGGAGCCTCGGAATATATAATTCGAAACATAGATGGGACCTGCAATATAATCCTGATATCTTCAGTTTCATGGACGGCGATGCTGGAAAAGAATTTGAATTATCAAGGACATGGCGACCTGTTCTTTAAAACACTATAGTCAGGCACTGAATCGAAATGCATTGTATAAGAAAAGTACAAAACGAATTATTCCAAATGATTTCTCTTCGATGTCATTCCTCATTACTGTATAGCTACATTGATAAACAGCCACGTTTTAATATGTTAAACATATGCAGTTAATTATTACTCACTCGGTTAAAGATAAAACAGTTACTTGTCAATTACTCGGTTAAAGATAAAACAGTTACTTGTCAATTACTCGGTTAGAGGTAAAACATCTGCAGTTACTTGTCAATTACTCGGTTAGAGGTTAAACATCTGCAGTTTCTTGTCAATTACTCGGTTAGAGGTAAAACATATGCAGTTACTTGTCAATTACTCGGTTGGAGATTAAACATCTGCAGTTACTTGTCAATTATTCGGTTAGAGAATAAACATCTGCAGTTACTTGTCAATTATTCGGTTAGAGGTAAAACATCTGCATTTTCTTGTCAATTACTCGGTTAGAGGTAAAACATGCAGTTATTTGTGAATTACTCGGTTAGAGGTAAAACATCTGCAGTTACTTGTCAATTACTCGGTAAGAGATTAAACATCTGCAGTTACTTGTCAATTACTCGGTTAGAGGTTAAACATCTGCAGTTTCTTGTCAATTACTCGGTTAGAGGTAAAACATATGCAGTTACTTGTGAATTACTCGGTTAGAGGTAAAACATATGCAGTTACTTGTCAATTACTCGGTTAGAGGTAAAACATCTGCAGTTACTTGTCAATTACTCGGTTGGAGATTAAACATCTGCGGTTACTTGTCAATTACTCGGTTAAAGATAAAACATCTGCAGTTTCTTGTCAATTACTCGGTTAGAGGTAAAACAGTAACTTGTCAATTACTCGGTTAGAGGTAAAACATCTGCAGTTACTTGTCAATTACTCGGTTAGAGGTTAAACATCTGCAGTTACTTGTCAATTACTCGGTTAAAGATAAAACATCTGCAGTTACTTGTCAATTACTCAGTTAGAGATTAAAGATCTGTAGTTACTTGTCAATTACTCGGTTAGAGGTAAAACATCTGCAGTTACTTGTCAATTACTCTGTTAGAGGTAAAACATATGTAGGAACTACTTGTTGCTGACTCGGATAGGGATGCAACATCCATGGATGTTTACTGCTGGCACTTATATACTTATGTTAGAATTAATTATTTTTTAGTCGGGGTTTTTGTCTGCGAACTAGAAAGCGCTTAATTAAGACGGAATAAATTATTGAACGCGTTTAAATCATATGATGAACTGTTAAATAAAATAAAGTATCACAACATGGCATTCCAAAGCAAGAATTTATCTTTCTTTTGTGGATCGTTCTCCGATATGATTTCATTAAAGGCATGTGAACATTTTCTGTATAATATAATGAACGCGAGCAGTACCATCATATTGGCTTAAAATCAACACAATAATAACACGCATATTGCCGTGTGTTGTTACCATTCAATTCCACGATAGAGCATCGTATGTTTTACTATCAATTTTCTTAATATTGAATCTGCGTCTGCAACAAACATGTTTATACTTTAATCCATTAATAAGTGGTCTCTTAGGTAATTACACTAAATAAGCCTACAGACCTGTTGATTATAATTTCCTGGAGGCTCCTAGTATTTGATCTTAATTCGTCTGTTATCCTCACAACAAAGAAAACTTTTCTCGGCTATAGAACTTTCCACTGCCAGGGGAAAGTCTGTTCTGCCAATAATCAAATAAACTAGTGTAATTTGACGCATGGAAATACACATGAATAAAATTCCTTGCCTCGCCATCAGTCACTTAGTTTTGTGGCTTTTCATGCTGTGTACATAATAGGTTCTATGGGAAATTATAAGCATAGCTTAATTCTATGTATGTCTCATTTTGATATTTACAATATTCGTTCAACTGAACACTGCTTACTAGTCGGCTGAAGGTTTTTACCAAACATTCTCCTTAGGGTGACAGTCAGCACTTCTCTCGCGCTGTATTATCCTGGCCTTGGAAATATAAAACTCAAATAATATTCTTAAATTTTACACTTCATCCTTAATGTTATAATGATCAATTTAATGCAGATCATCAACTGTTTCTGGTCTTTAGGTGATTTCTAAATAATCATGACTCTTCCTTTACGCTTTGATATCAAAGATATCATATTTTGAGCCGTAATTACATTAAAAATGCAGTAAACCATGTGTTTCCTACGCAAATCTCAATGTTTTTGCACACTTTTAATATTAAGGTATACTATGAATCAATGACATTTGATATTTTCACCATAATTAAAACTAATATGATCCGCTTATATTAACAAACATACACACAATTCTGCAGACTTTTACATCAATTCAAATTGAACATGCTACCCAGTAGTCGGTAACC